TAATAGATATTGTTTCTTTTTAAGAAAAATAATAACAAGATATTATTCTAAGAATAGATTCCTTTCGTATTATACATGTGAAAAAGGTATACATGTATTTTTGACTTGTATACTACTAGATCTTAGCTCAAGGGTTTCAAGATTAAGCGCCTATGTGCGAGACCAAATGGCCTGGGTTCGACCCTCGACGACGAAATTGTGGATGCACACTACAAAAGAATCCCGTATTAAGACAAGTCAGTCAGTCAGCTACAACGTAGAACCAGGCACATATATGCATCGGTCCAAGTTGCCATACCTCATTAACACAACAAGATGAACACCGGATTCAGAGGTGGTGATATATAAAAAAAAGACTGCATATAAGGATATAGTACAGGAAGAATGATTTGGTACGAAGAAAGAAAGATATGAAGCAATTTTAATCTCTTAGTTTAAGGGAAGATAGTGTATACAACGACGCCACTGTGATCGATTCTGAGCCATGCAACCCAGAGTCTCCAACCATTTTACAATAGTCACGTGGATCCCAACCAAGTAGTCTGCATCTACCAACATGGCTCAGTATAGAAGTTAGTGACTTCAAGCACTGATGCCACGTTTTGGTTTGGCCGCCCACAACTTTCTTCCAACCATCTCCAACACCGGTTAGCATTGCACGTCGTGTTAGTCGGTGTTCAGACATACGTAACACGTGGCCCAACCATCTCAGTCGATGAAGATTCACAACCTCATCAACTGATATACCATCATTCCCTAATACCCTTCGTCTAACCTCACTATTACTTACCCGGTGATCCCAGCAGACGCCAGCAATATTTCCAAGGTATCTGTGGTGTATCAAGACAAAGCCACTGTTAAGTGCTTTTAAGTTTTCAATGGTTTTCTAATTTTGATCGGTTCACAATCACAATTATATATATATATATATATATATATATATATATATATATATATACTTTGGTAATAGTATTTCTGACAACAATAAAATTGATGCACAGAAAACGAGAATATTTTCCATTAAAACATGATAACGTAATGAAACATCTCCAATAGTTCAACTTTTGAATAATTAACTAATTGAACAAAAGGGATAAGATTCATGTGTTCATGAATTTGTAGCGCATTTGTTTTATGGTCAATTTGTGTGTGATACTAAGCATTTTTCAAGCAAATTATTGTTTATTCAGTGACTGAGTGCTGTATGTAAGTGCATAATATCCACTGACAAATTTTTTTTCTAAAGCTCTGGTAAACTGGGATGAGGATGGGCTACAATGCAGTGTTTTAAATAAAGTTATACCTAGATAGCTTTATATTGATAGAAATGAAATACCTAGTGAAAATTAAACTCTTATATGCAACACTCAATCATTAAATGACCAGAAAAATGCCTGAAAATACTGGATATTGCAATATTATTGAACATTGAAAATAATGATGATTCACCATACGCATAAAAAAGAACCTTTTTATTAGTTGTTATGTATTTTACAGATTCTTTTAATTTCACACTATAAATTAGTGAAACCGTACAAGTATAATTTTAATGAGATGGAAGTGTACATACTAGAACTTGTACTGAATGTAGAGCTTAACATGAAATGGATTTTTAATTATCAACTCACTTGGCCGTGCAAATAATTGTTCAGTTAGATTCAAGTCACACTCTAAGTGTATGAAGATAAGTGATACTACTTAGTTGCCAAGTCAAAGTAGGTAGAGTGAGATCGAAATCTGAACGAGATGGATACTCGCAGATTGGCAGTGTTTGATAATAGATGATGTAGGTTGGAACCAATAAATAATCAATATTTAGGTTGGACCCAAGGTACGAGGTGAAAGTAGAAAATCAAACAATGAGCTTAGCCAGTCGTTACCGACTGAGATGGTTAGATATATATTATATATACCACCCAACCACTTCACATATTAAAGCTAGTGTTGAACAAGCCAAGGTAAGGTACCAGTATATTGATTTTTTAAAATTAATAACTGATTGATATGAGTCATAACATATCATGTTATAATCTCAGGAAATGCCCTACGTAAAAGGTGGAAATTCTATTCCATATAAAAATGTACCAATCAATCACTGTATTCAGTGATCACTAAGACTTTTCCCATATATCTTGCCAAATTAGCATTGTAAGTTAGTCCCAGTATGAAACTAGTTGCACCATTTAGTTTTCTTAGTCTAACTATGAGCTGAAAAGCTCAGTTTCCAATGTTTAAACTTTCGACTTGACTGATAGACAAAATGTAAGAATGTACGCTCTTGATAACCGAATTTACGATGAACTTCACATTCTTATTTAAAAAAACAAGATATTTTTCCAAGTTTCACATTGCGGAGGTATTTTCACATGTGAGTATAACATGAATAGAGAAAATGATTTGTAGGCATTCATTATGGTACTTTACAAATCAATTGTAACATCATTACAATAATTTACTTTTTCAACGTAATATACATATTGTATGTGATCATTATGAAACGTGAATAAAAACCAATTGAATTTTAACTCCTTTCTCAAATATTCATTCATGTCGATTTACAACATGCAAACAACATTTAGTTGCAAAATTTGTGATTTACTAGTAAACATAATAACCAATACAAATCAGGTTCGATTCCCGCATTTGAGACCATGGATGCACATTGCTGAGGAGTCCCATACTAGGAAGAGATGGTCGGTCACTGCTTCCAGGTTCTCAATGGTGGTCTAAATTAGATAGACTCATTAATTTAACTTAAAAACATTTTTGTTGTTGAAATATTGCACATGTGTTTTGATACAGAGCACTAATTAGATATCATTAAATGATAGCTACATATGACTGGGCTAGAAAGAGCTTTTTTTTCGGGGAATAAGATATGTGACTCATATGCTTGATTTCTCAAGGGATATATTATATCTACATAAATGAGTGCAAATACAATATATTCGGTTTAGTCAAAAGAAACTTTCTTCCCAAGCACGTTGTGCACAGAAATTGTCAGTACTAAGTATTGGAAACCGCGAATCACAACAACCTCATTTGTAACTACCATACAGAAGATTCAGATTGATTGTTTTAAGATTGCAAAACACAACAGAATAGACAAATTATTTAGAAATTTCCAAATATCAGAAGTATAGAGAACTACTCATATTCATAAATTATATATATATATATATATATATATATATATATATATATATATATATATATATATAAACATAATTTGATGTGATATAATAACTTAGACTAATACAAATTAAGGCCATGTTGTGACGTTGTTTTTCTCTGATTTAGTCATTAAGTTATATGCGTTGTAGAATCCCAATATTTATTTCAACACATTAACATTGATACTTGGGGGCATGCATCAGAAATATATGCATCACACTTGGTCATTCGATTCGTGTGAAGGCTGGAATGCTGCCCGGGTGCCCAAACGGAAGCAAGTGGTTTTCAGAAGGAGCCACTCCTTGAGCATTTCACCTAAAAGTCTAATCCATAAGTCAGTGGAGCAATGTTGAGAGATGTACCCGCTAACCTGGTTGAAACTCCGGACGTTCGCACTTCATCCACTCCATTTCGTAAACAACAAACCCGCAGCGAGTACGTATCAAACTGACCTTGATAACTAACGTTACACTTTACACGAAGCACAATAATAATAATATTGACGTCAGCATACAAACGGTGAAACCATGAGAGACAGTCACCTTAAAATATTGTTTTGTAAAATAATAATAATAATAATAATAATAATAATAATAATAATAATAATAATAATGATCTCACATTTTTAAACTATCTAACAAAACGAAGAAGTTATCGTTTAATTTAATTGTTACAACTGAATTTCACTAGACTGTATTGTTTGTTTGGATCAATACTTACATGAATTACTTGTTAGAAAAAATATTGATTTTGGCACAGTCAGCTGATGCAAACACAAATCAATAGAACAGGTGATTTCAAATTGAATAATTAGTTCGAGGGGAGAGGTACAATGAAAATAGATTCGGTTTTATTGAAATATTATATTGATGTGTATTGGCAGTAACTATAAGAATAGCTTGTGAAAAGATCATTTTAAAAATTAGACGAAAATAACCCTTTTAAAACTAGGTTTTATTGCCTAAATCGTAGCTGCTACGTTATTGCATTGCTGAATGAAATGAGGTTTGACAAAAGAAAGGTGTTCTCCCTTAAAGAACCAGTATCTATAGCTATGTTACTTTCTGTAACAGAGTGAAGTTAAAAGAGATCGGCTCCAAAAATTCACACTACCTTGTGCTACTGATTTCTGTAGTCGGCGACAAAGTCATATAAACAGCAAGTCAACACATTTATAACTACTCAAAAAGATCCCATGTGTGACCGGCCTCAATAGTAGCAGTTCTCTGGACTTTACACTTACAATCCAAGGTAATTAACATCACCCTAAATTAGTTTCTACTTAGGGTCTCTGGAGAAATATCCTCCAGGGATATGTGCTCCTAGGAAGCGACAACGAGCCGCATACCTCTAAGAACACCTGACGTTAAACTGGTTACTCTTTATTTGGGGAAATACGATTTAAAAAATCACTACCTTGTACCCCTGCCTTCGACATCTCTGCTTTAACCTGCTTAAAACGGTTCTGAAAAACGTAGATTACAGTATCGATTGTCAGTTTAATGAAGAGACAAAGGACATTTGATCATAACTATAAAAATTTATAAGTGGTTAGCTAAACTATTTGGCTATCGCCAACTGTTGTGTTGTTGAGTCCAAAGCTTAAGTAAACCAAACAACCAAATTCAGTATGAATTGAGAACAGAGTTATGGAATCCCAATTCATAAAATAAACTTAACATCTCATCAACATAGTTCACTCAATGTTAAGTTACTCAAACTAAGTTGGTCACATTACTACCTGAACAATAGAATTCAATCACATACGCACATGTTATACAATAATAAAGTGAATAAATCAAATACAAGCAACACAATTAACTTACCGTTGACGATCAAACAAATTATTAGCCAGTAAAAGTTTACTCTCCATAACAATACCGAGAATTTCACAAAGACGATTGAATGCAATAATTAATTCTTGTGAATTTTGGGTATTTTCTATAAATTTCGTCTGTAATAATGAATTCTGAAAACAAAAGGTAGAGGAAATGAAAGGAGAAAAAATACCAACTGAAATAAAATGCAGAATGACTTTTAAGACTAAGACAAAAATCAATCGAGTTCAACCGTGTCGAGTGAGAGGCAGATAACTACCGAAGACAGTGGAAGTTGGTCACTTAATATCGTGGATTTGTTGAAATTAGACATTGACACCGTTGGATGACGGCCTAGTGGTATAGAGGTTAAGTGTTTGCACGCGAGACAGAAGGTCCTGGCTTCAAGATCCGTGTTCGGGATCGTGGGTGCGCACTGCTGAGGAGTCCCATACCAGGATGAAACGGCCGTCCAGTGCTTCTAGGTTTTCAATGGTGGTGTAACAACGATCGGTTCATGATCTCAATTAAAACTCAACAATCGCCACAACCCTATACTGATAACAAAATGTAATAACTTACAACTTTTTGTTGGATTATCTGTTGAAAAGTTTTTATAGAATTCTGTTCGATTCCAATCATTTTTCTGGCTAGATCTACAGCTTCACACAATAAAGGGTCAAGTTGTGAAAGACGTTGACTGAAATAACCTGGATCTAACGCATCACGTACACTGATCAAGTGTATATCATCTACACCATCATTATATGGCAATTTCGATGGGAATAAAGTTGACGAATATGTTGACGATGATGTGCGTAGTGGGATTTCTCTTTTATTCACTGCTCCATTGCAATCATTTGATGTAATACCACTGTTCATTGAATCAATAGAAATATCTTTCGAACTAGACATTGCAGTATTCAGTCCAGTCACAAGATTAGTAGTAGTAATGTTGGATGATGATTTCGTCGAAGGATGAGACATAGTAGAAGTAGTCATTTCATCATAATTTGATTTTGAACAATTAGTAACCATTGTAATCAGTTCACATAAACGATTTGTTTGTCTAAATTCAAGATTTTACAATTGAAAAAACAATAAAAAAAATAGACGAATGAACTATGTTTATCATCAAATGTAAGCTCTTTATTAAATACACATTTACTTACTGCCAGATTTGGGTCACATTGAATTGTATGTTGGGGACGAGGGTTAGTGATGCCACTCGTCTGGATGAAACGAATTAAATGACGCTTGGTTCAAACTAATGAACTATTAGTTCAAAGTTAAATAATCTATCCACTAAACTATAAATGTGTATTTCAAATTTTGCTGATCAACATAGTACGACAGTTAAACTATGGAGGTACAAAAGAAAGTATTCAATCAACATATTTGGTAACTGACTCAAGTTTGGTAGTGGTGGACAAACAAAGGTGCAGGATCGGTTTAAGAAGTTATTAAAAATTGGAGTGAACCATGTTAATATGTGTAAGCTACCTGGTTGGAGTCCGCGTGTGACATGTTTTAGAATTGTTCGCAATGGCGCAGGTTCATTCTCTCCATCTTTTTCAGAACCTGAGTTCCGAAATCTCCTTAAACCTTTTTTCCTTCTGTACCCAGTCATTTTACTAATACGACAATTAATACTGTTAACATGCACACAACTTTAGATTTATCTCGAAATAATTTTATCTCACTGTGCCAATGCAGTACAGAAACTTGAACTGATGCAAATGTGTCGGGTTCTACGTTGCGCGTGGCATGAAATAGATCAATAAAGACTAACAATCTTTTGATCCTTAGTATGCCAACAACATTGAGATTCGAATTCTTATAAATGAATAAGTTTGTGTGATAAAACGAACTGAAAAAAAAAGATATAAATAAATTCCTAGAACATCTGCCAAAACAACTTGCTAAACGGCAGCAGTTGAATTGATAGATACAGTGTTCGAAAAGCCTCTGTATATACGCTTACAATTCAGAGGAGATGGACCTAGCGAAATGCTAAGACTAAAGCTACGCAGATCAATCCAAAGGGCTTTTAATACAGGTAAACTACAGTTAGTGTTTTCTACAGACCCGATGACCACCCCGACGTTGAAAGATAAATTGCTTATACTAGCCACTTCTTTCTGTATCTACCAATTCAACTGCCTCTGTGGAGCAAGTCATGTAAGCAGATGTTCTAGGATATTGTATATTCGGGCTCGTGAGAACCTCTCGGTGTGGTTAAGCGAAGGTATAGTTAAAACTGTTAACAGCTCCATTCAGGCTCACATAAATAAATGTATACACTTACGCTCTAACATAAACTAATTCACTACTGAAATTATCCGGTGGTTTAGCATTAAAATTGAATGGTGAATCTGGACCAAATCGTAACGAATGTATATCATGTAATGCACGTTTAATTATATCTAAAAACGCTGACTCATAACAATCAGATGCTGAAGAAGAAGGATCCTGTACATTTGTATCGCTACCATCTTTGGTGATGGAATATTGATGATGATCCATGATGTAACGTATATCTGAGGAATTTGTTGAATTTGTAGAGCCTAAACTATTTAAGCTGGTTTGAGAACCACCAGTATAAAAAGAAACTCCAGTAGGTTGATTTGATCCAATACAAGTGGATCCTGAATTATTTGACATAATACCATCATTAGCACCACTGACGACACCAATATGACCAGTACTTGTTGTACGAACACGTCCAGTACTACCACTACCAACACCGACATGTCGACCAAGATACAATGCAATCGTTTGTAAACCAACGGCTTTAATTGTTGACGATGGTAAGGAATAACGCGTCCCGACGCTAGATATAGCAGATTGTAAACAAACCCATTCGTATAAATTTGTTGGTTTAGGAATATTGTTAAAATTGAACTGAAAAATAAATAATCATAAAAGAAATTAGTTATTTGTAAACTTCCCAAAATCAGATAATTAATAAACGGAGTTTAAAAATAAATAGAAAATTTCGATCATGCACAAGTCGAACAAATAGGTCTAATAAACCCACTGAATGAAATGACGAAATGATAGTTCCTTATAGAAATTATTCACTTTCTTTTTTATAGTCAGCAAGAATTAGCTAAGGGCAAACTTTCTACAATTCAAGAACATATGGAAATCAAAACAACTACCAACCAACTAATATTAATATCAAAGTCACAATCTTCAATAAGAACGTCAAAACAATCCAATTGAATGGAGCTGAAACTTCAACAACTACTACAACGATCATCAGAAACGTACAACTATTTATAAACAATTGTCTACACAAGATACTCAATGTCCGTTGACCAGATACCATCAACAAAAACCTACCATGAGAGAGAACAAATCAGTTTCCAAATGAATAGGAAATTAGGAAAAGACAATGAAGATGGATAGAACATACATTGCACAAATTATCAAACTGCATCACAAGACAAGTGCTAATTTGGAATCCATAAGCAAAAAGGAGAAGTGGAAGATCAAGGAACACAATGCGTCGGTAATTGGTGGCTGATATCAAAAGAATGAACAGCAACTGGGAAGGATTGACCAAGACAGAGTCCGACGGAGAATCACCGTGGGTGGCATATGCTACTCAGTGAGGTGTAACAGACGTAAATGTATAAAACGTTTATTCGCTGATTGGAAACTTATGCTCCAAGAGGAGTAAAAGGCTTAAAGAATTAAATAGGTAAGTAAAGCTTCTACAATAAAATAAGTTGAATCACAAAAATTTTCTAATACCAAAGAATATGAGGCTGAATATCTTGAATCAACTACAAACTGATTTCAACTATCTTTTGTAAAACCAGCCTGATAGATCCTCTCGAATGTGATGGAAAAGAGACCTATGTATCTAGTTATACAGGAGCAAGAAAAACTACCGTATAAACATGCAAATGGTCAAGTTGTAAAAAGTTAAGTTTTCATACAAATATTTACTGTAGAAAATGTATTTCGAATTGACATTTCAAGACTCGTTTCAAGTATATAATCAGAAAGATCTCTCTCAAAACATAATAAAATTAAAAAATATAGATTGATGTAATCCCAAACTTTGAATCAGTCTTATCAGTTTTAATGTGACATCTTGTGATATACTAAGTGAACCTTTCAATATATAGATAAATCCAATGCGGAGCTTAAACCTACGATAAGTGTGCACTAGTGATAGTAATCTTCAAGTCATATTACTAAATAACCACATGTATTGAATGAGTGGATGGGTAATATCCATCTGGAAAAAAAACAGTTAACCTACCGATTCTTTCTGATCAAGGATTTCACTAGTTCCAGCTACCAACTGCGGTGGTAACGGCAATTCTGATAATTCCTTTTTTAATTCGTTGAAGCTAAAGATAAAAAAGTGGAATGATTTCAAATTAGAAAAATCGATTTCAAGGTTATGGCGTATATATCAATCTAGGATGATGTTGGTTGAACCATATCAAAACACACTAAAATGTTGACTAACAACTGTCTCGTGATTGACTCCGAATAAAGAACATACAATTACGATTGTTAAAAAAAAGTATTAACTTGTGAATGAGGGAATAAAATAACTGAGAATCAAGGATATTTCGCTTCAATATTTCTTAAGGTTAGGATTTCTATTAAGAATAGAGTTTACTGTTAGAAGTATGGTTAAGAATTACAGAAGGAGATTGTTAGATTGCATAATTAAGAATCTATAGACAAATTAGATTTAATTCATCATGTAGAATGCTACATTATTGCTAAATTCTTTGATTTTGTATTATATTCAATCGTCCATATTTGATGCTTTCTGATTGGCTGAAAAAAGCTGAAAACCACAAAGCAATTCAGTAGTATAATCTGATCTTAACATCATTGATGTTTACTGGTTAACAGTATTTATCAATAACTGATTATTTATGGGCAAAGCACGTAAAACATTAGATTGGTATTATTATTGTTATTACAAATCTAATTAAAATATGCATAATATCAGTAAATGGTAATATTAAAATAATGCATATTTCAACATACTTGTACAATTTTCGTTCCCAATCTGATACACATCCTTCAAATTGAACTAATCGACTTGTTGCAAACAACAAACGTTTATTTGTATCTGCCGCTACTTCGGCTAAATTAGCTAATGCAACACACCATCCCTAAAAAATAAAGCGACAAGTTTAGGAAAATATGGTTTTATTTAATTCAGAGTTAGACAGATATATATATATATATATATATATATATATATATATATATATATATATCAAAATTGAAGGTTTTATCTCTTGGTTTCATAGAATACATAATGCCTACAGAACGTACCTGCCACCTTTATGTGGTGATCAAGACTGTATATCGTATCAACTCAGTCGAGCCACATCAGTTGGGAAATTTGTTCCTTTTTATCTTACTATACCTTGTATATCAGTTGGAGGGCAGTAAGAACAAAAGTAACAAATACATGATCCGATGGTGAAGACATAAAGTCAAATGTACACAGGATAAAAATTGCAATAAGGTGTTTCCTTTAAGCAACCAACAGCAACAGTGATGCTACCTTGTGACAACAAGAGAGTTGATAAAAGATTCCCCAATTAAAATAGCATACTTTACTTTGACTCATGGATTTCCATTGCCGGCGATAAGGCTTTAAAAATACTGGCCTAATACTTTAAAACTTCACAAAAAGACCATCTGTGAATAGTATCAAGCAGTTATCTCTTCAGTGCTGCGATCACACTCGGATAGTTAAAACAACTAAGTTATTTTGCTTTTCAGTTACCTCATAAAAACGTGTCCTACCACAGTATGAGATATAATAATCGCCTTCATACTTCTAACACTACATGAGATCACTTTGACCAATTGATATAGAATCTCTAAAATCTTAAGAAACATGATATCTCAACGAATCCTTTTAGTAGGTACAGAAAAACGAACTCATAAAACCCATGTATGTTTTATTTTAAGTCAGAATAGAGATGTGAATCACTGAAATATTGTCAACGATTGTCAACTTCTGAAATACAAACACACATGATAACGCCCTTCATCAACTGTAGTTTTTCTTAACCTACAGTGTATTATGAATTGATTATGCAAATATAATCATGTCAAATTTTCAGACCACAGAATATCAAATTTAAATAATATAAATACAGAATAAGAGTAATAGATCAGTAAGGTCCGACTGATATCGACATTTTTCTAAACTTAAATAGTAATACCAAAATTATTTTAGTAAAATGTACATGTAACAGCTAATCAACTGTCAATGAATTATAAGAGGTTTAAATGTCATGAACTGAATTTAACAAGGAAAATATTCACACTAAATAGGAAGTATATATAGGCTGACAGAGGTATAAATACTAGCAGATACAAAATCCCACTTTATAAATACCAATAATTGTATTTGATTTAAACAAGAATCCCTTTTATCTAATTGCAAACATATACATATCGACAAATCATAAGGTGAAATGATGAAATCGCATTTTATACCATTTATAATATTGTGAACAATTAATCTGTATTCAACAAACATACAAATCCATTGAAAAGTGATAACCAGTTGGAAATTGGCATAAGTTACTAAATATAAGTGATTTATAGTAAATCAAAGATTTTAGGATCCTCGTAATTCATTAAGAAATCTCTATTTTATTGTTCGATACAACTAAAGTTTGATTATTTTCAATAAATTTAGAAATGTATAACATTGAATAATAACTCAATGCTTTAAATGTCAAGTGCTAGCTACGATATCTGAAGGTCTTCTATTCAATGATCACCATTACTGTATTAAATGAGCACTAACAAAGTCTTATACTAGGATAAATCTTTTAATCAGTACCTATTGGTACTCAATATTTGTCTAAAGTCTGTAAAGAAAATCATAAAATCCTACAGTTTCCACAAACCCCTCATAATATTGAATAGCAGCAAGCCTCAAACTACGATCGAGTACTACTAACTCACCCACTGTCTCTAATACTCATGATCTATATCATTTGATATCCATCACAAACGACAACTGTAAATCGGTAAGCTCTTTATTTTATAATCCAACTGATCAGCTAAACTCTATTTTATTCCGAATTAAACAAATCATTTGAAAGATTCTTATCAGTAGTCGTAACATTCGATAACCAAATCCAAATGATCTGCGTATGTGTGTCTGTTAAGTTAGTAATAAGTACGAACAAAACTTAACAATCAGACATGAATTCAGCTTTGTTTAAAACACAATAGTTGATGCAAATTATTACTAAAAAAAACTGCTCAATTATTCCAATAGAAATGCGGTGGAATGTGGGGTTTAAACATGAAGTGTCTCTTTATCAGTAATTGCAGTTAAGCTACATATCTTAGTTGTCATATAAATTGGGTTTTCATGTGGTTTTCAACGTGGAAAATATTAATACTAATTTCACTGAAACATTCAATCCATCTGGTTGAAAGTAGAATTCACTGACAAACGAATCCTATTTATGATTATGGCTATTGGATTTTTGCGCAAAATTCGAAACGCGAGAATGAATACCTTGAAAGTCATAAAAAACTAAGTAAAACTTACAAACATGCTTTAAATTAATAGACATAAGGGGAGTGTAATATAGACTATGATTCATGAATGTATGGAGATCACTTAAATGTGATTGACATTTACAATAATAATAAAAAACTGAACATGTATTCATTCATGTGACAAGGCATTATTTCCCTCTGTTCCCAACCATTACCCCTAAACCTAAATGCTAAATCCTAAAATTAACCCTATGAGGTAATTCTAGACAAAAACTTTATTCGAGTTTCTATATAATCAATTATTCACTTATATCACCTACATTATGATCAGCTAAATATTGGCTTCCATATCATTTAAAGACCCGCTAAAATCATCACTAAATTATACTTTTAACATTGACCTATCACGTTTAAAATACTTTTCAATCAATCACATTATTAGTGTGTAAATATACTACTGATAAAAAGTCACACAAACTACATATATGCGGGCGTATAAACCTGTATCATTTGACGTTGTTCAGAAACCAATTGTTCAATTGCATTGGCAGCTTCACGACCAATCGGAGTAAGTGAACGAATAAGACGTAGTCGCTCTTCAAATACCTTTTCAGATGGAGCTAACTCTAATAGACTGGCAAGTTGTCGTGGATACCCTCCATCTGTGATATTGAAAAGAAAAGAATTTATTCATTTTTCGTAGTTAAATATCGGAAAGAAAACACGGTTGATAATTTATTTAAAGAAAGAAAACAAATAATGTATAACTTAAACTTGTAGAAGACTCTTGAAGCATGCTAAAACTGATAACGAAACCAATCTAACCAATTACGTAAATCATTATTCCAGAGGAAAACTTTAGAATTCCATTGTTATATTTCTCTCCTACGGTTATAACCTAGCTATTCCTATTGCTTAGTAGTCTTGGACACCAAATCACTCGACAAGTCCCCAAATCAGAACACGGTTGAACAGGAAAAGAGATTATATTCCAAATAACAAGGTTAGATGGAAGTAAGAAGCACAATAGGGAAAACGTTAGTATATTTATAGTTTTTACATGAGAAGATTCTAGAGCATTCTCCAAGTTTCGACTAGTGCTGATTGAATAAGGATTAGCCAATCAGCTTGCACCAAAGCAATCGTACATCGAGCATGCTTTAATCCAGTCTATGTCCCACTAACATCCATAGAATACTAACTGATCGGAATATTTTCAGCATTTTAACAAACTCTGAAGACTTTTTCACAGAACTATAGTGAAGTTTAAATTGGACAAGTAAAATTAGAAAAATAAATCTATTTTGGAATTTAATAAATTTATCACGTATAGCATAAAACCGATAGGCATATTGCAACTAAATTGAACGTATACACCTAGACGAATTTCGAAAAATTGGCAAATGTACAAACCAATAACTGCCCACCTTTACTGGAAATTCGGAAGAAAAAAACGTGTAATTTTTTGAAACCACCTAGCTTGTTCCAGTAATATTCAGTCAGTCAAAAAGTACGACCAGGCAAATATATGCATCGATCTAAGTTGCCATAGCTCATTCGCACAACAGGATGAACACCAAATTTATATAACCAGTTACTTCAGTGGCAGTAAAAAACGATTTCATATGAAGATATGATACAGGGAGAAAAAAACTAGTTTGTATAAAGAAAGGTATAAAGTAATTTTGATCTCAAGGTTTAAGCGAAGACAAAGAGTGTAATGGTAAACAAATTGGAAAACACATAGCAAACTAGTTTAGCTCGTTGACTGGTTTGTTAGATTGAAAAATGAATAAGTGTTAGCGGATTTATACTTAAATAATAAAAAGAGTACAATGTAATACATTTATCAAGTAAACATTTAAGTATTTGGAAGTGTTACAAAGTTTGTATAAGGGAACTATGATGCTTGCCAATCGTTGAAATTGAAATAGGTGAAATGGGATTAGGATGGGGGAACTACTGGTCGGAAATAGAGCGCTCTAACTATTATTCCATTGTAACAAGTAAGGATATAATGTGATATTCTCGGTATAAATCATATGCTGTACGGATATTATGTAATTTTACAAGAGGAAATGAAAAAAAAACTGTTTAATAAGTGATTTTGCAATTAGGTGTAAAGGGATAGGTATAGATGGTAAATTGGTTGATCAGGATGCAAATCTTTATCGATTAACGGGATGAAGATGTGTTACACATACCTATTTACTGTCAACTCTGATTTATACTGGTGGAAAAATTATGAACCTAATCACTCAGGTTTGTATCACTTAGGGTAACTTCTTATTTGAGGTTTGTTGTGGATGTGGAATCAATGTTTATAATCATATGAGTTCTTTTTTCAGCAGAAATGACAAAAAAGAATGACATAACAACAGGTCTAACTGCATGCAGTGTTCTTGTTCTAACTGGTCGTTGTGGCTACAGGAGCTGGTTGGACCAATCAATAGGCGTTAAGATTTCGTAGTCATTAATCACGGTTATTGAATTATTGATTAAGAGAAGGTCAACAATTTATCATTAGATGTACAGGTCGTTGATCTAATAGACCCCACAATCAACTACTCCTACAATTAGAAAACCCTATTATACAAGCAATCAATATGAAGCTGAGGATACAACAATTTTGACTGTTTTATTTCTTTTACAATCACTCAAAATATCGTTTTTAATCCTGATTTTTTCTTGTTGTAAATGTTGATTCAAGGCATATTTATTTTAGATACTGCTTTACATGATGACTAACTGAACTATGATACACATCACTAATATATCCAAATAACACGGTTTACATTGAACTCTTCGAAAGACTACATTATTGAAGGGTTTCAAAAGAGTGTGGTAGATTAAGACTAAAGATGGACAGAGTGGACTAATGGACTGTACGTTCAGACTCCTCAATGGTATACAGCAATGATTTTGAACTATAAATACTTTTATCTGATGATTTTAGCAGTCCAACGGTTAAAAGTAGTGGCAAAAGCTTTATTTTTGAATCTAATTCATTTTATTACATAAAATAATACAGAAAACAATTAAACTAACCATTGACTTGCAAGACATCTGGTTTTTGAACAGTTGTATCATTTGAGAATGTTTGCGTAAACACATAAATTGGATTAGTTTTATCCTGAATAAGACATAGAAAGAATACAGAGAGAATAAAAGCACAGAGTTAATTATGTCATCTGAACTAAACTGATGTAATTTCAGTTTTAATAATATCACAATTGATTATCAAAACAAGAAATAACAACGCATGCTGTAGACATATGCAGATATTTATTACAAATATAAAAATGATTTTCATCGGCAACTTATTTACGAAGTATATGTTTATAAACTTGGCTGGGAGTCATGATAATCATGTGAAGAAGGCCAAGGATACTGTTAAAACATGAGATTTGCTAAATCATGTGAACGTAGAAAATGTCCAATCAAAGCCAAAGCATGTTGACACAATTTTACAGAGTGGAAACAAGTGAATGGGGATTATCAATTCTATAAAACAGTCTACTTTATGTGATGTAGTACCCAAATCACAACTCATATTGACTGGACGTACACTTGAGATAAAAACCGTCAGTTCGAACCAAAGTAGGTGAAGTGAGGTTAAAACTTATAACCTAAGGGTTGAAAGTTAAGTGATGCAACCAAAACATGATCACTATTTTACCAACACATAAGTATCATAAACTAACGGAAATGACTTATTGAATATAGTCGACCAGTCATTGAATTCATATCATTACATTCAGAGAATATTAATGCAACAAAAAACAACCACTCATAAACAAAATAAAACATAACCCATATTTGTACATCATCAGTTCAACCTGCCACAACACATCACAAACAACAAGACGAAATTATCATGATAAATAAAAGATTATTAATAGAACTAACAATACTAATGTTTGTGGTGTCGGTAGCAGAAAACATTAGGAGTATATAGAGTGTGATTCGAGAAGACAAAATGAATTCACAAATTAAAAATCAAGTTCTAAGAGAAGAGAAGAAGTGAATGCATCTGCATCATTGTAACCTATTCTGGTTCACTTTACCAAACATGTTCAACTATTGGTTACAATAATCAAACCGACACCAACTAACCAAGTAGTCTACACCGAATAACACTGTTCAATCCAGCAGTCAGTTAACTGATAAACTGATAACTCGTCATGGTTTTATTGGCACTGGTTTGCTTTTTTCCAAACTACTTCCATATAAACCAATATCTGTAGAATTTTGAAAATGATGACACCTTGTTCAAAATCACCATTATCTCATATCATGGGTAAATTGTTGTTACTTAATCAAGTCAAATTAAAATTTCTACACTGGAATGATTAATCTTTAAACATATGTACCCAGAAGTGAAGTGTAGGTTAGTTTTTTTCTTCAGAGAATCATCTTAAAACTAAAATGATAAAACAATAATAAAGAGAAACAAACTACTTGAAAATAGTGTGCCAGAAGGTTTATTACTATTAAAGCTGAGGTGTATGTTACTTATGTCGACAGACATAAGTAGTATCTAACAGCAGTCAGAAGTTGAATGCATGGCAGAAAAAGGTTGAGAAGATCGAACTGAAGAGAACAGATATGTAAACAGAGAGTAATTGCAGTAGCAATAGGAATGAAGGAGCGATTGATTATGTAGGAGACAACTGATGGAAGATGTGCAAATGAAGTATTTAATGTATAGTTTTCGTATTTCACGAAGACATTCTGCAATTTTGTATTAACGAATAAATTGGTTTTTCCCACCTGAGTTCTCTATCACTACAAAGCTACTCCTCATAATTGACTGATCACTGGTGTAGTGATCTATGTAATGTATATCAAGTCCTCCTTAGTGCAATTCTATTGACCAAGTTGCAATGCGGCCGCTAATCTAGGTGACTCAATATCGCGTGCACTATATTGCGATGAGATCGAATGCGTCAGGGATCATCAGTTTCATCAAGATTATAGGTACACCCTGATGACAAGTCCCAAATAGCACGAAACCTAGGTTCAGGGTTTCCTATCGACTACCTCCAACCACCATATCATGTTAAAGCTCCTTAAAAATTGAAACCTTAATATATGAACCTGAAGTTCATACTTGCTTGAAATTGATCAACCGTTAAATAAGATTAATAACATCTGAAAGATGGAGATACTTAAATAACTTGTGGCGAATTCACCAACAACTACAGAGAATCATGATAAAACCAAACACAATATAGGAAAGTTAAGTGTTTGTACGTAGTTAGGATGCAATCCTGATTCATCAAAGTTTCATGCTATCTGGTATTCGTTGGTAAGCCGTATCTAGAATTTTGTGATAACTGATTTAACCTGTAATGTACGCATCACACTACACTTTTGAAAAGAATCATATCTCTCTGGGGAATTATCTTTACGATTAATTTATTATTACTCTAATGCATTTTTTAGATTGCAGAAAACATGAACAATGCATAGTATAAAATTACAACTTGACTGGAATCACTTTTAAATAAATAATGATGCACATAATCATTATTTAGTGTAAAGTACTCGTTCGAGTGATGTGTGTATAATATTATACATATATGTATATTTCCAAAAATTACAGTACCCTACCTAATAGAAACAATGTTTACTTACACTGAATTTATTAATTAATTACTTTATCCATTTCTTATGTACACAATTAAATTTGACACCATAGTAATGATGAGTGTTTAACAGTTATGTGAAGTATTTACTGATAGGGAGATAGTTGTGATTTATTACAAACTTGTGAATTATTGAACAGTAAAACCAACGAAATATTTGACGACCACTTTTACCCCTAACATCGTACATAGTGGACAAGAATTAAACCAGATGGTTACCTTTTAATTTCTTTGACAGGTGAGTAGTAGTATCATACAGATGTTTTCGAAGTTGATATTTGACTAAATTGTATCACTCTCAGCCAAGGTATGAAGTCCTTCTCCCACGAATATGCACAGAACCAGTTCGAATTACATTATCTATACTCCTAATGTTTTCTATTAACAACACCACAAACAACTTATCAAATATGAAGCTTAATAATATAGAAGCAGAAGCCTTATCACTGGGGCTAAAATTTCATATACCAAAATCAAATACTGACAGGATCGATACAGAAGCTCAATTCGAAAGTCTGTTTGACCAGTTAAAGGATTTGCAGCCAATGAATGAGGAAAAGAAAGGATGGTTCAAAGCAAAGTTAGCTGATATTGCAAACCAATACTTCGTGTCATCGACACCAAAGTCTAATCTTCTATCCAGAGAACATCTGACAGCCCTAAGAAACATCAAACAAAATAATGAGGTGATGATTTTACGACCGGATAAAGGTTCAGGTGTCGTCCTAATGAATACAGCTGATTATGTCACTAAGATGAAGCAAATCCTTGACGATCAACTGAGATTCAAGGTAGATAAATCCCAAAAAGATTTAACTGATTCAACATAAAAACGAATCAAAGGCATGCTTAGAGAACTTCTAAAAAGAAAAATGATTGGTAATTCTACTTATAATTATCTAAAACCACGTGGGTCACGTCTGCCTCATATGTATGGTTTACCAAAAGTTCACAAGCACGACGTTCCCCTTAGACCTATTCTATCAATGATAAACTCACCGTATCACAAAGTTGCACGCTAGCTAGCAGAAAAACTAGAACCGGTTCGTCGAAGATAAGCAACATATACGTTACAAGATTCATTCCAGTTTGCTGATAGACTAAATCGTACGAATGTTGCCAATAAGTTCATGGTTTCTTTTGATGTAACATCCTTGTTCACCAATATACCACTTCTTGAAACTATTGATATAATTTGTCAGAATTATGATCTCCTACCTTTACCAGCCCCGGAATTCAAAAAACTACTATTAATGTGCACAACAGACGTTCAATTCCAGTTTAATAACACCATATATCGTCAGATCGACGGCGTAGCAATGGGAAGCCCACTAGGTTCAATTCTGGCAGATATTTTTATGGGGTATCTTGAAAACATGGTGCTTAAACAGACTATTAGCGAAACGACGGAATATACCAGATATGTTGATGACACGTTTATTGTCTGTAACAATAAACAGCATGCAATCCGCATGCTAAAACACTTCAATAACGCTCATCCTAACATACAATTTACTATGGAACACGAACAGAATGACATGTTCCACTTTCTTGATGTTGCTATAAAACGTAGGAGAGACGGGACAGTCCAACGTTCGATTTATCGAAAAAGTACTTGGAATGGCATTTACCTGAATTTCAATAGCTTTTGTCCACTCAGTTACAAGAAGGCATAAGTTAAAACACTATTTTATAGGGCAGAAAAGATATGTACCACTGACAAACTCGAAGAAGAATTGATGAAAGTGGAAAAATGCCTGCGAGACAACTTTTACCCACAAAAGTTTATTGACAAGTATAAGAAGCGTAAAGAAAACAATACTGAAGTAACTACTGTCAATAAAAAACCAATAACTATAAGTTTTAACTTCAAAGGTGACGAGGTTGCAAACACAATCAACAGGAGACTGAATACTGCGCTAGCCAGAACTTATCCGGCGGCCAAACTTCAAATTCTGTATAAAACAACATGCTCAATAACTCAATCAAAAGTTGATAAGCATCCTTTTCATGTTACCGCCAATTGTATTTATAAATTTACGTGTACCTGCCAAAGCAGCTACATTGGCCGAACAAAAAGGAGGGCATATCTCAGATTTTTTGAACATGTTCCAAAAAGCCTCAGAACAAGAGAAAGAAAGACTCTAAATAGTGCAATCACCAAACATCTTCTTGATAAAGGACATCAGGTCGATACCCTGCAACTATTCAAGATGATCAGTAAGCATCCAAACTCCAGTCATCTGAAGTTTGCTGAAGCCATTGCTATCAGGCGCCAAAAGCCTGATTTATGTGTTCAAAAGGAGATGGTTATTAATCTTTCCTTGCCTTGGTGATTAATATTACTTCGTTATATCTTAATAATTTTTTTTTATTTTTTCTTCTTTTTCTTTAAACTCTTTCTTGCATTTATTACACCATTGAGTTTTATTCCAACTATCTTATTTTATCAACTGAACTCTACTCATTTTATTCCTATCAAGGTTTATTTGTTTCTAACCGTTTGAACTGTTGTCACAATGTTCTTTCATCATATAAGGTATATATTTACAATATTCAGTCTATTAAATTTATTTACACCTTTGCTATACTATATGAATATGCTTTTAATATAACTTCCAATCAAACTCTTTTATGTAAGTAATTTAAACCCATTAATTATGATTTTAAATATCATAGGTTGTAAGCAGCTGACGAGAACCAACGAAATAAAAATGAATTCATGCTATTCTGCTAGAATGTTTGTTCTTGCTCTTTTCAAAATGATAAAGGGAACTATGTGTATGAAAATTAGTATTGTTAGTTCTCCTGTTGCTCTTTTATTTATCATGATAATTTCGTCTTGTTGTTTGTGATGTGTTGTGGCAGGTTGAACTGATGATGTATAAATATGGGTTATGTTTTATTTTGTTTATGACTGGTTGATTGGCTGTTTTTTTGTTGCATTAATATTCTCTGACTATAGTGATATGAATTCAAAGGGATTGAAATAATAATAATAACTTGAAGTGATACAATGGGTTATTCACAAATCGCCGAGTGATCAACCAGTATCAATTTTCATACACCGCATATCACAGTGAGAAGTTGTAGAAAAGTATGGAATATAGGTTGGAAAGTATGAATGAAATGGGCAGAATGAAAACTAAGGAATAAGATTTGAGCTCAAGATCGACAGAAAATTATAAAGAATGAATACATCAAGACAACAGAAACGGATTTCAAAACTAGGTTCTCTGAGGCCTACAACTATAGACTATTCACAGGCACTAAACACAGAAAGTTAGAATTTCTTTAAAGATACAACAAACTAGTAGAAGTCCAAGGATACATAGGTCAAGACTTGATCGTAATCGGAGGAAGGACACTACTCCTAGCACTTATTAAACCTAAATATTACGTTGCTAGCCGATATAACACGAACGTCACAGTAAGCACGGCAAATGATCATGAGTAAAACATAAGCTGAATTGCCATATCGAACTATCGTGTGAAACGCTAATAATAACAACAATCATAATGATAGTAATAATAATAAGAACAATTATTATTATTATGCACAATCTAACCAGTTCAATGTTGCTAAGCAATTTTAATCAATCAAGTGTGGTGTTCTGCATTATACACAACTATATATGTATCATAAGGAAAGAACCTGAGAATAAGAAAACCGTGTAAAAACACGTTTATATTGCTGGAGGGTTAAAGTGTTGTTGTTGTTTTTGTTCTAATAAATACAACATTTTTGGTGAAAATTAAAAAACAATTCTTTGTTCAGTTGAGAGAAACTTTCACAGCATAGAATTAAAACTTTCACAATAGATATATATCATTACAACTAAAGCTGTGACCTGAGAACAAACATCAGCACTGAAATAGTAACTTACTTGAATAATATAAAAATATATTATAAGTACAATGAAAATGAGTAAATAAACTTAACAATTTATTTGTGATGAACCATATTGCTAGTTGGTTCCCGCTGCCTGCTTAGAGTTCAGTTCATGAGATTATTCATGAGACTATACTGGTTAATATGATACAGAATTAGCAATAATAAAAAATAATAGGTGCATTCACTCTTTCTTTGTCTTTCATATCCTTCTAGAACCACGGTTTCGAGATTAATTTAAACCTGTCGTTCCAAAAATTCATTTTTTCTTCTCTAATCATATTGTCTGTGTTAAATGTTTTTACTACCATGAATAATATTACTATTTCTATTATTGTGTAATTCACCTTCACAATTTCACCTAGGTGTATTGATATGGTGTGGCAACTTGAATTGATGTACACAAGTACCAGGTTCTGCAATGCATATGACTGATTAACAGATTTGTGATTATAAATAGATATCCCAATGAGTAGAAAAATTAGGTTTTCTGACGTTTCCTGACTTAGTGTAAGCCACTTCTTCAGAGAATAAATAACCAAATTAAAATTAATCCAAGTTTAAATAGTACAACGGAACACGTGGCTTACATACTAAGTTGTGAGATGTCAGAAACCCTATTTTCTACTCACCAAGATCACACAGATTTATTATTCCACTACTAATAACAACTCAAACAATTTATTACAAGTGAAAACTATATTTGAAATAATCCCAGCGATTGAAATCTAAGTAATTCCAACGTTTCTTCCAGCAAAATTGTCTGAATTTCTTTAGGATTACTAGCCAGATTTTGTCAAACTATTCGGTCTAATATTGACGAATATTGTTGTAAATGTTCAATTTACTTGAAACCATCCATGTCAAAAAACTTAATAGAGATATTTTTTTAGAACAAATATATTGTGACTAGCAGTGGAATAATATATACATACATAGTATGTATGTGATTTAGTAACACACTGGCTGACAGTATTTCCAGGGAAGTGTTGATTATGAATAATTAAAGAATTGTGATAAGTAGCACACAATTATTCGTTTAACGACTACCCACTCTTTCATTTTTCCAATCAATAAAAACTCATCGACACAGATATATATCAACTTGCGCTATAAACACCAACAATTAAATTGATCGACAACGTTGTATAAGTTACACAGTTTGTTTCCACTATTTAATAAACTTGAGTAGAGCTGTGGTTTACTTGTGTGGGATACTTGATGACAAAATAAAGCCTGATATCCTTGAGTAGTACACAGATCACAAATCATCGGGATTAAATCTTATAAGATTATCATAAACAAACAGCCATTCAGTCGCAACGTAAAACAAGGTGTATATGTACATCGGTACAGGTTGCCATACTTAATTAGCACAAAAATGTAAAATAGTTGGAGAAAATCCCGGAATAGTAGAGGTAGCAACAGTAACGGTGGTATAAGAAGAGATTAGGCATTGAAGTTACGATTCAAGAAAATATAGATTAGTGAAACAAAAACAAAACTGAGTAGTTAGGAAGCTTAGAATTTGGGGGAAGACAAAGAATGCATGAGTGTGGGTCAATGAAAACAATTTTGAGCAGCCTCACCTAAAGTCTATAACAATTAGTTACAAAAATCACGCAGATCCCAACCAAGTAGTCTACATATAATAATTAATTACATATATTAATACACTATACTTAACCTCAAATACTAATAATCCACGAGTATCCTTGATTTTGAAAGGGCAAGTTTCAGACCCATAGAGCAGAACGGAACAAACTGCTGTGCAGTAAACTTATCATTTGGTTAGTAGATGGATATCTTGACTACCTTACAATTAACGCAAGTTGGAAAATACCAATGGGACTTTCTGGATTTTCGCCGAGATTTCGTCAGATACCAGTTCATCGAGAATGATGAAAACCCCTAATATAAGGGAGGTGATTGACGGACTTAACTACTTCGCTCCTTACCATTAATTCAGGAACAGATGTAGGGCAATCCCGAAGCAACCTTTTCCATCTAGAGTGAGAGAACCGCATTACAAATATGCTACCATTATTCCTTAAAGTGGTCTGATGACTGCATTTTGCCAGTGTCTTCACAAAATATAACTATATCTACGTGTCCGGTGTCAAGAAGTAAATCTCCTGGTAGAAACACACAACCACTCAATAATAATAATAATAAGAAGAAGAAGAACAACAACAACAACAACAACATGACGGTATATTACACTTACCAAACCCGCACCATAAGTTGACAGTTTATCACCTGGTTCCAACTGAAAACCACCTGATACTAAAAGAATTTGTTTATTCAATGGTAGGTCAAAATCATGAGCCAAAACATTCCGTAGACTTGAAACCCTTGAAAGAAATAAAGTAACGAAACCTCATCAGTATCATTGAAATGTAGTGTATGTGAATTAGGATGGTACTACTTTATTAGTAATAGTATTAAGTAACCGAAATAGAAGAATGATTAAGACTAGTTGGAAGTGTAAGGGACTAGATATAAATAGTATTTTGATCGAATAGGCAGTTAAATTACGGGAATAACCGAGACAGATTATTCATTTACTTTTAAAAAGAATGTAATAGATATAGTGGTATAACCGATAGTTTGTAATATCAATTATGTGTGATAGAGTAACAAGCTTACTGATTCTGCATTCAAGGAGTTGTGATGGGTGAATAAGTTTCATTTAGAACTAGTTATACCGTCAGGTTGTAAACTAAATATTTCTTATCTTATCGTCTAGTCTCAAAGTCGACAAATATAGAAACCTGAAACGATGCACATATGTGTCGGGTTCTACATTGTGTATGACTAACTGGTTTACAGGTCAATTGTGGAATCGCTTACAATATGCCTAATTTACTAAATGATGTTTATCAAAAACAATAAAGAAAAAAATCTTTATTGTAAAACAATTCAACGTTAATCTAAGTTGTTAAGCTAATAAATAAATACCATTCATTAGTAGTGATGTAAATCTAAAGTGAAAACGTGCAACTTATAATCTAGACTACAACCAACACAAGGCTTTACGTCATATGTAGAAAAGATGGGACAAGGTTATTATTATTATTATTATTATTATTATTATTATTATTATTATTATTATTATTATTATTGTTATATTCCAGTATGATGTTTGATCAAATTTCCTGCCCATGTGACCTGTACATCAATAATATACCTAGGAACATATAAGCTAGTTATACACATAAGCATACAAACAACTATATCATATGACAAAAATCTATATCCTAGGCACAGTTTATTCAGATAGTCCGATGATAATAAGACAGGCAGACAGACAAAGATCTAAACAACTTGATGTAATGACAGAAAAATTTAGATTCATGTATATATGAAGAAATCTTTCTACATAAGGAAGTGAAAATAATAAATATAAAAATATATAAAGATATGAGGTACTATACACACATATGTAAATTAGACATTTCAACAGTAGAACATTGAAAAGTAAGAATGTATTTTTCCTTGAAAAAGCTTGGACGAGATTACCAGGAGAAATGTTGGATTTACTTCAAATTCTTTTACTGAGATTTTACAAATACATTCTTCCTCTTTAATATCTCACATTAACTCCATATTAAATCTATTTCACTAGTAGGTTGAATAAATAATGTTCAACACACGTTAATTTCTTCATCTCTTTACACAATACATAAATAGTAGATTGAAATCATGAGTCAATTGAAGCTAGACTACCATGAAAAACCTGGAAGCACTAGACGGACGTTTCGTCCTAGTATGGGACTCCTCAGCAGTGCGCATCCACGATCCCGCAAGATTCGAACCCAGGACCTATCAGTCTCGCACCAGGCGCTTAACCAACTAGACTACTGATCCGGCATCCAATGGTGTTAATGTCTAACTTCAATCAATTCACGAAGTTGCGCCACCATACACCATTGTCTTCAGTGAGCTGATATCTCACAACAGACCTGGTTGAACTCCACTGGTAACAGCTTCTCACTAGAACTCCAGGAGTATCTCTTGAAGTCAGTCACTAGTGAGCAGATGATTATTCTCAGAAGGGGTTTGTGGAGATTTTAGAAATTTCACAGATTGAAATCATGAGTCAATTGAAGCTAGACCACTGCTGAGGAGTCCCATACTAGGACGAAACGGCCGTCCAGTGCTTCTAGGTTTTCCATGATGGTCTAGCTTCAATTGAATCATGATTTCAATCTGTGAAATCCCTAAAATCTCCACAAATTCCTTCTGAACATAAATAGTAAACAGTAATTTCCCAACTGGTCAGATCAACTTTTTCTTATAAAATAAGCACAATAATAAAATGATAAAATTATTATAGACGACTTTTAAGTAACATTAAAATAACCTTGGAAAACAAACTATCTATTAGATTCAAAATAGGACTATGAATTAAGATGATAAACAGTTTAGGGTTTTTCCATATGATCGAGCTATCAGCGATAATGTTAAAATACTATTTACCTACATGGATGAATAAGTTTCGTACAAAAAAATTTAAAAGATGCTATCTTAAACTTAATCAGTTCATCCATAAATCTAAGTCATACCAAAAACAGATGTAGATGAAAGCTTTGGATAATTACCGAGTTCGATAAATAAATGTGACTGTAAAATGTTAATAATAATAATAATAATAATAATAATAATAATAATAATAATAATAATAATAATAATAATAATAATAATAATAATGCTAATAGTAATAGTAGTAATAATAATAATAACTGAACTGAAAATTATTTTTGAGTGATCAAAATTACAGAATAAACTGTATACCAGAATTTATTATCCTTTTACATCAATGTTTTAAAGATATTCTTAAATCAACTAACACATTCAACACGGGAAACATTTGTTGACTTAGATTAATGATAATCTACTAGCAAAAACTAATTTATAACATAGATTACAAGAGGTTAGTTAGGCTATAGAAGGTTCACTTCCTTCAAATTAAAAAAACATAAATTCGCATACTACACATATTGATTAACGCGTCAATTCCAACTAGCCTTGTGGACAAATGTCAGCAAGCAAGAAACTCAGGCTCAAACCACCACATCAATCGACCTTTAACCACATAAAATCCGAAACTGAATTTTAAAAATATATCATGAATAATAGACACCATTCTACATAATCGGTCGCACACTAAATCGGAGAGAAGTTCCAACATAGAACGAAGTAGCTAAAAATGAAGCTTCTTAATTATTATTATGCGATAGTTGGAATTAGTGCATATATTACACTGAATGATAAAAAAACTGTCACATTGTTAGGGATCAGGCAACCAAAGTAAAATACAAGTAGTGCGTTATACAATGAAATGTGCAGTATTACAGGCTTTGATAGCTCAAAACTCGAATTATATATATATATATATATATATATATATATATATATATATATATATATTATCCAAACGAGCACCAACTACATTACAAGTTGATGTGCAGAATCATCAAAACTCCTCTCTAAAGTAAGTGTACAACTTTTGACAAATATATAACGAATAAAACGTTAGGCTACTAAAACAACGCTTTATCTACATAGACAAATCGATTAAAAAAGTTTTCTTACGTTTGAGATAATAAGTTGTCATCTAGTGAGACAAGGCGACCTTGATCCATCAAAAAAATATACATGATGATAGCTGGAAATGGAAATTTCTAGGGAAAAAACATAAGTAAAATAAACTGGAAAAATTCCTTAAAACATTTACATAATTTACAACAATCAATTAACGGATAACATAATTTGACAATAATATACACAGAACAATAGATTTTTAAAAGTTGTTAGACAACTAACAACTTAGGACCTAATATAAATGAGCATCGATCGAAGTTGTAACGTCATATACTAGCACTGTGACAAAGCCATAATCAGAGAACAATTTGGAATATAGGTGTTTTGGTTCAAGTTCCCACACCACATCAGCACAACAAAAGGGAATCAATAAGATGGGTAAGAATCTAAATAATACAGTATTATTATCACTTGTAGTAATAACAATGACTGTTGTAATTATTTCTAGTAATGACGATAGGAGCCCCCAAATGCCCTGGTACGGTCGAGGGTGGGGGAGTTCGCTCTCCCTCTCAAAGTGCTGTCACATGGCTACGCGTATACAGCCACCATTACAGGCGTCCTACTCAGTGCCTTCTCTCAGCGGGGATGTTGTTCACGAAATTGAGAGGACGAACGGCAAATGTCCGGTGCTTTAACCGGGTTGATGGTCACGGAGGGTCCACCTAGGGGAGTTGGAAAACCCTCATTCCAAATGAATGGTCTACATGGGCTTCAGGATCCTAAGGAAACAAATTGTTGGTCACCGGATACAATGGGACTGCATCTACTGACGTTGCTCCACTGCCTTGTGTATCAGACCTTCAGGTGCAAGGCTACAGGTGTGTCCACCTAACATAACCATCTGCTTCGGCTTGGGCACCCGGGAAGTATCACAGCCCACATATAAATCAAATGACTTGTGAGGCGCACATGTATTCGGTGCCCCTTTGTATCAATATGTGTTCAAATAAATAAATAATAAATAACGATGATAAGAACCAAGCATCGAATATAGTTAGGTCTCCGTGATTCAATCGAAGCCTAGACAAAGAAGAAATGCAGAAGAGGACCAAACGACGTGTAGTCGTATTACCCATTGAAATGAAGATAACTAAGCACGAAAAATATTGTTCGAAAATAAATAAAATTGGGAACGAGAAAGTATGAAATAACGGTAAAACTTAAAGTACAAAAAAGAAAGGATGAGTGAATTTGTGTCAATGCAATCCATCTTCGGCCAACATCACCCATTCTCCACCCATGTATAATGATTATTACACCCGAACTGTTATTATCTCCGGTTCTTTCTTGATTGAAATTATTCATAACCTTTACACACCTTCAGCAGGAATAGTAGCCAGAACGTCAATTTCAAAAATGTAAGAGAGATAATGTCATTTATGTACTTTGATAAACAAGTACACATAAAAACAAGAATAACAGTATTAGCGATAGTTGTTTTACATATACTTTTAAGAATTTAACTTAAATAGTACTTCTATCCACATCCAACTGATCTCATTCTATCGTTGAAGTAAAGGAATCTCTACATGTTTCCTAAAATCATTATTCAATAATCAATACTGATTAAACGAATAGATTATGGTAAAATTCCAGTTAACATTATTTAGAATATTGAAATTACATTGGTCTATTATAAAACATAAACATTAATGAAAAATCAATTAAAAAGTAACTGGGGAAGTAACAGATAAAACTCAATGACATTGATTTTTATTTTCGTAATCAAAACAAAAAAAACGGAATTATTTTTAGGGATAACAAAGAGAATAAATCAATATTAACGGTATGAATTTCTGTAATAATGTGAAGAAGAAGAATAACCATATTATGGAGAATATTTACAGAAAGAAGTGATGAAATGAAAATAGTCTTGAAAGTAAAAAGAGTGAAGGAGATCAATACAATATAGTTAATTTACATTAAATGTTGTAAGTTGATCGTAAACATAGATGTGAACATCGAAAAATTCAATAAATCGTTTTTCTTTCCGTTCATAATCAATGTAGAAATAAATAGGTCTGGAATCTGTGTGTTAAACCACACTTTTAGAACATATTATGACGTCTAGCATAGGAGACGAAATAGTGCAGTAGTAAAGGATAATGAAAAAGAGAGTATGTTTCAAAAAGGATGAAATAGAATGATGTATAAGAAGGAATATTGAAGCTCAAGATCTTGAGCAAGATGAAGTATGAGTGAAAATGTCTTGCTGAGACCAATTATTACCCGCATGAATCAGCATCTCTAACCACTGACCATAGCTATGTCGCGAAATATCAAGTAGTCTGCATTTGTTAACGCGGCTCAGTTCAACAGTCAATGACTTCATGGATTGATAACATTTATCAGCTTGGCCACCGATAACTTCCTTCACTCTATTATCCCACCATCTAGCATCGCTTGTCGATGTAGGTTGTGATTTGGAATACGTAACACATGTTGTGACCTCATTAATTACTAATTATAAAATATCACAGGTGTAATGCTATAGGGACAACGACTTTTATTTTATCAGGAACGAAATTTCAAAAAAGACGGTAAGCGAATATAATAATATTTTTACAATATTGACTGTTTGAAAGCAGAAATATCGAAAATTGAACAGTATATTTGGATCTTTAAAGGAAGTATAATTCTAACCCTCGAATAAAACCTTACAAAATAATGAACTGATTCATATCACTACACATTTAACAGTACATAAAGCTTGAAAATAGTAGGTCAAGCAAGATTGAAATCGATGGATAAGAAAAGGAATATCAGGTAATAGATGGTAAGAAGTAATAAGATTAACACACCGGTGCTAGTGTGATTACTTTTAAACCATGTTACGATATAGGGTTTCAAACCTTCGATTTATAAAATCCCTGGGATTTTTGTCCTACTAAGTAACGCAAACCAATAAATAAGAACTTCATAAGATAATACTATATTTCAGTTTGACTATCGTCGAGTTGTTTCTAATCTACTTTCACACAAATCAAGCACCTTACTCAAGATAAATGATGGCCTAAATACACATGTCACTTGTCTTGGGCACTTCAATAATTTCAGAACCACAGACCCGTAAAGTGACTTCTCTACAATTGCATATTCATCTTTATATATATATATATAATCATTTAATGCCAAATTAGTGTCTTCGTTAAATATGAAAACCGTATATTAAATACATTATTTGCGCATCTTCCTTCAGTCGTCTTGCATGTGCTTCATGATTCTTCCAATTCTGTTGTTATTACAATTTCTATTTCCCTTCCTGTTCTCTTCAATTCAACTTTCTGCTGGTAGGCATTCTACTTCTGAATGGTGCCACATATTACTTATATCTATCAGCATAAGTAGCATACATCATAATACGAGCAATAAGTGTTTGTGGTAAATATCTCCCGTTCTGAATGAATGCTGCTTGAATACTGGTCTACATTAACGCTTAAGCTGGTGACAGGGAGTGAAGTAGTTGACTGTATCGGCCACTACTTAACTTTGAAGTCCCATCAGCTTTGTTCGGTTGGTGTCTGACGAAATCTCGGCACAGATTCAGAAATCTCGATTGGCCATTTCCAACTTGGGCCAATTGTGACGTAAACGGGATGTTTACCTCCCAACTGAAGAACGAGTTTACTGCCCAGAAGTTTGCTTTGTTTTACTGTACGGTTATGAAACGTGGCCATTAAAAATATAGGATATATGTAAGTTACTAGTGTTTGGTCGTAGATGTCTTTAAAGCATTGTTAACGTATGTTGGAACCACCGAGTGACCAATATTGACTTTATACGCGGATGGTCTATGAGGTAGTGAATTTTTATTGACAAAAATGAATGGGTCATAAACTGCATATCCCCAAGCACCACCTACATCGAAGCGCGAGGCCAGATGTTGCAAGGATGGATTGGGAGAAAGCTAGGATCAGTCAAAAAGATACGTGATATTATTCCATGAAGTCACTGACTGTTGGAATGAGCCGTGTTAGTAGATTGAGTCTATTTGGTTGTAGTCTACAAGATTATAGTGACCAACAGCTGAAAACGTTAGGTGAAATAACTTGGGATCTGTTGAGATAGAGTAGATGTATTCAATCGTCATCATTTACAATACTATTATTTCTATTACTTATTCATCGCGCTGCGCTTATGTGGTCTGGCAATTAGATCCGGAGATAGGTTTCAGGTTCTAGATTGGTTTGGAAGTAACCTTAAAGCAGTAATACATATACATACATGTATTCTAAAATAGGTCAACCTGACCAGTGATAAGTTACTTCAAGACTTTGTGACATTTTTTATACAAAAACTTGACTTACGATTTACTATATGACCTAGAACAGGCTATCCAAAGAAATTTGAACTTTGAAAATAATTTGACTTCACTCAATATCCCACTTCCATAATTATTTACACGATTGTTATCATCATTCAAAAAGTTTTCTAAAATGATTACCATCCAGACTGTTGACTTGATGTTAAAATGACAGCAATAATGATATACATTAAATTCGTGAAATTCTGAAACAAAAAACCAAGCAATCATGACAGATTTAAGTATCGACGAAGGTCTAGTTAAACGATGCGCGATACAGGTGATCCATACAAAATTACGTAATTGGGATGAACAGTCTGAGTGAGGTAATAGGGTATGCACTACGAACAAGTACCAACAGTTCGTGATAAACTTCCTTACCGCGACTTGTTATATAGATCATAATTGTGTAAACATTGTAATGGGATGGCTTAATAATGATAAGTAACCGATGCTCAACCGCCGGTTAACAGTCTAAAACTAGGCTTAACTTACCTTAGTTTGCGGAGTCGAGTGGTTTCACTAGTCTTTACGAGGTGACTAAAAGCTGAGTATACAAATCCATACTTATTAAGTATTCCTGAGAACCTACTTTGATCACTTATTATAGTATGTAGAGATAAAGTACCACTGGTTGTCTCATAACTACCGTTTCTACTCAAGCTCATCGCTTGGTACCCCATAAATCACTAGGTTATATTATTTGTTATTACATAAACAACAGCTTTGGTTTTCAACATACTGAGTGGATCAACCAGTGATTTCATCGTTGGGTATTGTATCGATTCTGTCAACAGTTCATCGATTCGCCCACCTATGATTCCAACAGCTTTTTCAGGTTAATTTCACCGCCATACTAGTTTAAAAACAAACCAGTTAGTTATTAATCTACTTGTGAATGATTCAGTTCAGATGGTTAAATCAGTTTTAATCGACGGTGATTGGAAAGGACTATCAAATCGTTTCGATAGGATAGCTTCAACATGAAGTTCAATCTCATGCAATCAAGCTATCCTTTGAAAAAGTTCAGCAACTTTCGTGTCGTACGTGTTACTATGCAACATCCAGCTAACATTTCAAGCTATATTTATAAGGAATTCATTGTGGTGGAAAAAGCGGAACCGATGGAAGACTAAGGCAGAGTTCCATTTCCAAAAGATTTGAGGGATGAACACTTAAAAGGATATCCATTAACTCGTATAAAGTTGCAGCCCACTGTATTAAGCATTTAATTTCTATTCACTGACTAGTCTGTACTTAAATTTATGAAACACGTGTAGCGCGTTGGAAACCTGAATTACAGAAACCATTTGGTTGCTGATGATTAGGTACGTTATATGTATGAAACTATAGAAACGAAAGTTAATCTAATCTTGGTTAACAATCGTCTGAAGTTGTAGAAAAGTGTGTGCAGATAAAATAAAATGGAATTTGGCTCAAAACGTCAGAGATTTAAGTTGCTACACAATACAAAATAGACTTAAGAATAAAAACGAATATGTATGAGGGAGAATGATGAACAATAAACTTTTCGAAGTTCACATTAAAAAGATAATCCATCCATATTATTAAGATTTATTTTGAACTGAAACACTGTGTCGCCGAAAACGTGAGACCTGATACTCAGAACACTGGTATATTGATTTGCGCTTCACAGCGAAACGAGAACGTTTGCACGATGGTGAGGTGAAAATAATGAAACCAATAGTGTTAAAGTTCAGGAATGGAAGGTTTGAAGCAATTCTGTTCTTAGAGTCTATCTGAGAGTGGATGTACCACTGCGACCACTGATCATACTCATCTATAGACCCCAACGAAGACACTTGAGCTTATGATAGTCAATACCATGAATACGTTTTAATTAGCGACTTTCAGTCCTTTTTCCAGCCTACGTGTGTATGCAATTTCCAAAGTTCTGGTTTGAACAGATAAGTGATATATGGTATGCATTCCCAAATAAAACAGATGACGAGCCTAGTATTTCAGTCAGTAGGACTATGCAGCAGGTCAGCATGCCAAAACCATGAAACAAGAAAAATACACGAGTACGTCAATGTTCAGAATGTAGTTACCTGGGTTTTTTTACAAACCAAAGGGTTCACAATGCTATCAACAATGAATGATGGGATACTTATTACAGAATTAAATATGTCTTATTCAACCACCTTGACAGTTTTCAGACAACTTGACTAACTTAGTAACAAGACAAAGCAGCTATTAACTTTTTAAAAATGGGTGACTTAATGTTACTACTAACAACGGATCTAATCCTATCCCCAAAACTCTGGACAGCATAATGCGTTGTTCCATACAAAACAGCTGACACTACGTGGTCTACACTTAGCCCTTCGTTATTTAGTACATAACGCTGATCTACGATCATCTGCTACACAAAATCAGCTAGACGCCATGAAAACTTTTGTTCTGACAAGGTTAAGATAATACGACTTTACACTTTTACTTGATGGAGTATAATCCGAAAACTTTCAGCTGTTGACACAATAAGCGTTCAAGGTCTTGGTTAAATCTGCCCCAAACTTCTCACGACACAAATCAATATCAGTCGTGAATAGAAAACGTAGAAACGCTAATCTAAGTTCGGTGTGAATCAAGGAAACTTAGATGTTTAACAAGTTTGATCCAACCAAAACGCTGGAGTAAACTATGTTTACTGGGAAAATATTAAAGTGATAAGGTGGAGTGTTGATTTAAAAATCACCAAATATTTAAAATGAACGATTAAGGAGAGTTTTGCTCCCGGGAAATAATAACAGATACGAACGTTTTTATAATGACAAACAAATACCATAAACACTAACCAACAACGTAAAAGACTATAAGGTGTCCTAGAGTCAGCTGTAACGATCAGGAGACATTAGCAAACGGACTATACAAACAAGGAAGGTCAAACAATATTTCCTTGAACACATGAAGAAAGGGATAACACTCACAGTAAGTAGGAACAAAATTAATATAACCCTGTACTATTTATGACTTAAAAACCATTCATTCAGTGAAGTATCGTTTTTAACACGTCTATAGATGAAGAGGAGCAATAAAACTACTGCTACATTTTTGATAATAAAGGGGTTTGGTTCACCAGCTACTGCTAGGCTCGTTAGTTAAGTCTAGTTCAGGCTCTATTTTGAGATAATCGGGCGAAAATAAGTCCATTCAATATTCCCAGCAACGTCATTTTACGTAACAATTCTGTGTTATCTCTTAGTTACGGTCATTTATTCTATAAGCCCAGCTTTACTTTCATATTTGTCATTCCCAGTATTTATAAGGTCAACAAAGTCCCACGGATCGGTGCTTTGATGATAGAGTCGAGTATCGATCATCCAGAACTCCATCCTCATTCTAAAATGTTTTATTCAAGGCATGAGTTACAAGTCACCCCATGCTATTTCCGTGGGTTTGGGAGTCATCGTTATGCTGATGAAATCGTCAGAAGTAAGCGACTACGTTGGTTTTCGTTTTCTACAGGCGTAACGCTAATTAAAATCCCTTTTATAGCAAATTGCCGAACTAAATGGTGGGATGATAGCATCGTCAAACAGATGATTTTAGGAATAATAACAACTAAGATCAAATTTTTGTGCAAGAATCAATCATATCTGAGATCTTTTAATAAGTTGAACATGAGCTGCATCACTTTGAGTAGTCGAATTTACCATCGATTAGCAATATGAAACGTGATTTAGCCTTTACTCTTATACCCAGAGTAATGACAAATTTTACGGACGATATAGACTCTAATTAAGGTGATAGCTTTTACTGTCTGTAGCTACAATAAACCTGTATTACCATAAAAAACTCTATCTTCCGAAATAACTCCTTGATAATTGACATGGAGTCGTAAATAAGGGATTTTCGGCTTCAGTCAACAGCATAGCACTCATTTAAACGAATTTCTGGTTTGTTATGATCCGAAGATGTATTATTCACACAGAATATATGTTCTTCAGTGAGAAAAACGGTATTGAGGGTGAGACGAGCCTTGAGTCTACATCTGAAAACCGGTGGTGTTTATCAGTGGTAATGGATGTACACCACTGTGATCAAAATTTTACATTTATACAAATAATTAAACTGTGTGAGATTCGTTTAGGGAATTGAAGTACACTCTTACAATTATTTGCGTTCGATACGAAAGCCAGTTCACGAATTCCAGTCATTTCTTGGTTGTAAATAAATCCCTTAAAATCAGTAGCTCTGTAAGTTTTTGATATCTGATGCTGACCTCATTAGTTTTAATGGACTAGCCTACCTAAGGCACTTGGTCATGCATCCTCACCAGATCACGAGTGTTACACTGTGCTCCACTTCCCCTACAACTGCTAGTCAGCTAAGGCTAGTCAATTCTCGGTATATCGGTACTCTATCAATTATATCTTCAAGCCTCTCTGCTTCCAACTTCTGATTTCACTTGTTGGCACGTTTAGATCATAAAAGGTGTTACTGATTAAGGTGTTGTCAAACTCCAAATACTTGTGGCATCTTTGCTTTTAAATCCATAAAGTTGATAAAATAATGTTGTTTTGCAACTCTCTTTTGCTGCTCTCTTGCCTGGATATCGTAAAACAAGTGGCCTAAGTATATGACCTCTTTCTCTATATGTTTCTGTAAATCATTTTGAGATTTTAGACCATTTTTAGTTAGAAATTAGAATAAAACGGAAACAATGAGATAGTTCAGAATTCTTAGTAGATTTTCAAGTCCTGGTAAGTGTCAAAACGGGTTCCATACCATCCTACAGATGGGGATCACACACAATCTTATTGCAGTGTTGAGAAGACCTGGTTACGTATTAGTTAACAGAACGTTAACGGCAACCGTAGCCGGCGAACATAGCCGTCTGTTATACGTCACAGATGTGACAACGAAAGTTCGCTACCTCGTCGGCACTGGCGCAGAAGTTAGCGTTCTCTCAGCGAATTCTGACGACCGGCTTCACGAATCAGTTTTAAATCTACAGGCGGCAAACGTAAAGCCTATCGCCACATACGGTAAAAGGCAAGTTTACCTTAACTTGGGTTTAAGCAAACCTATACACTGGATCTTCGTTGTTGCAGATGTTTCTATGCCAATCATTGGTATAGACCTTCTACAACATCATAATCTACTCATCGATATGCGCAAACGGAAGCTAGTAGACGGAAACACTAATTTATCTGTTTGCGTAACTTCCTTTTCTGGTTGCAGATTACCTCCGGTCACAATTAAGCATATGATAGACCCTTTCTATCAACCACTACTCGATAAATATTCTGGGCTATACCAACAGCAACCGAAAATACCATGTGTAACCAGCAACGTTACACAGGACCACCTGTATTCTCTAAAGCACGCCGACTAGCCCTCGAAAAGCTAAGGTTGGCGAAAAACGAGTTCGACCACATGATAGACTTAGGTATCATAAGATCATCAAACAGCCCATGGGCGTCTTCGTTGCACATGGTCCCTAAAAGGGACAGCGACGATTAGCGTCCAACTGGTGACTATCGGCGACTGAATGCAGAAACCATTTCCGATCGTTACCTGTTGCCTCATATTCACGACTTGACCGCTACCTTGAAAGGTACAACTGTCTTTTTGAAAATCGACTTGGTAAAAGCGCATAACCAAATCCATATGGCTACTGACAATATTCCGAAAACCGCTATCTTAACTCCCTTTGGACTCTACGAGTTTTCGCGAGTGCCTTTCAGTCTAAGAAACGCTGTACGAACCTTCCAGAGATTCATAAACGACTTTTTCGTGGTCTCATTTTCGTACATGCGTAGGTTGACGGCTGTCTAATAGCAAGTCCGGACAGAGAATCGCATCTCCAGCATCTGGATCATGTTGTCAACCGACTACAAAAACATGGCATTACTGTAAATATTCAGAAATGTCAAATCGGAACTGACTCATTAGAATTCCTAGGGCACACTATAGATGCTCAAGGCATCCGATCCCTTAAAACCAAAGTGGCGGCCATTCTGGATTACCCAGAATCGACCATCATCAAGCAATTACGCACGTTTAACGGCCTTGTAAGTTTCTATAGACGTTTCATACCTAACTGCGCGTTACTTATGAAACCTCTTACCGATCAACTTCGTGGAAATGCGAAATCCGTCAATTTGGACGACACCGCACGAAAAGCATTCTCCACAATTAAAGAACTTATCGCGAAAGCAACAATGCTCGCACATCAGGACACTCAAGCACCCATTAGCATCGCAGTAGACGCATCCGACCCACCAATCGGAGGAGTCTTACAACAATGGGTTAACAACTCCTGGCAACCTTTGGCATTTTTCTCCAGATGGTTGCCAGACACTGAATCAAGGTACAGCACATTCGGTAGGGAACTCCTAGCTATGAATTGTGCTGTACTGCATTTCCAACACTATATCGAAGGCCGCGAATTTACCCTTTTTACTGACCATAAATCCCTTACTTTCTATTTAAGCTCCTCTCCGGAAAGGTACTCCCCTCGTGAGTCTCAACAACTGGACTACATTTCACAGTTTATTTCAGATATTCAACACATTTCTGGAGCGATCAATGTAGTTGCAGACGCCTTGTCTAGCATCTCTTTCTTGAACAGTTTCCAAAAAGTCGACCTTCCTAAACTAGTCCAGCTTCAAAAAGAAGACACTGATCTTCAGCACGAGTTATCGCCCTAAACCCCCAAGCTACACATCAAACAGATGGGAACAGGTAGGGGAACCTTACTGTGTGACACATCTGCAGGTAGGGGTCGCCCAATCGTGCCGAAACGTTGTCTTCAACACATTGCACAAACGTTCTCATCCAGCTGTCCGTGCAACCTTCAAGCTTATAGCAGAAAGGTTTTGCTGGCCTGGCATGAATAAAGACGTGAGGGAGTGGGCACGCTTCTGTGTAAGCTGCCAAAAATTTACGGTGATCAGACATGACAAATGTACTTTAGGCTCATTTAAAATTCCCGATGATCGTTTTGACCATGTTCATGTCGATTTGGTAGGACCTTTACCAGATTCACATGAATACTCTTATCTCTTAACCTGCGTAGACCGTTTCACTCGATGGCCAGAAGCAGCACCTATCAAGGACATCACTGCTGAAACAGTGGCCCGCGCCTTCATCGAACGATGGGTAGCAAACTTCGGCTGCCCTTCAACTATTTCTACAGACCGCGGAAGTCGGTTCGAATCTGAACTTTTCTGTTGTCTGACCACACTTTTGGGAATCACTCGCTTACGAACGACTGCCTACCACCTACAAGTAAACCGGTTGGTAGAACGTTTTCACCGAAAACTAAAAGCTTCGCTATCAGCTGCAAACGTTTCACAGTGGACTGACGCTCTTCCACTCGTCTTGCTAGTTATCCGCAATGCAGTGAAAGCTGACATTGGATACACTGCGGCTCAAATGATTTATGGAACGACACTTCGACTTCCAGGAGAATTTGTGGATCCTTCATTCTCTTCAATGAACATGGATTTAACCTCCTACACAAAAAGGCTTACAAACGCAATGAATTCAGCTAAACCTGTTTCGCAATCAACTGATGTTTTCGTCCAACCTAACTTACGATATAGTACACACGTCTTCGTACGTCGAAACTCGAATCGACGACCTTTCGAATCAGCATACGAAGGACCTTTCAAAGTTGTTCAACGCGAGCCTAATTACTATATAATCGATAAGGACGGAACCAATGATAGCATCAGCACTGATCGCCTCAAAGCAGCGTATTTAGAAGGAAATCCTATCCACATCGGTTTTCCTTCGGTACAATCGAACGACACGAATCCGACACTTATAATACCTCATCCGACAACTAACACGCACGATGATACTTCGACAGTATCTGAAAATAAACTTAAAATAACGCGTTCTGGGAGAAGAGTAA